TCTTTTATATAATGGCTTTTATGATACAGGTAAGCTACAATGCGAAAGAGTAAATTGACAGGAATACATATAAGAAATATTAGTTTAGAATCGTTTGTGACACCTGTTGATAATGGCTTTTATGATACAGGTAAGCTACAATGCGAAAGAGTAAATTGACAGGAATACATATAAGAAATATTAGTTTAGAATCGTCTGTGACACCTGTTGATATTGGCTATGGACTGAATCTTTTGAAGAGGAATGAACGTACTGTTGGATCTAACTCAGTCACTTGTAAACCTTCAATAGATATTGAATCTGGTAATACGGGAGATCCAGATTTATATAGTATCTCGTCAATTGATTATGCTTTAAATTTGAATGCAGGTATCATATACCCTATATTTAGAATTCGATTATAATGATAAAAGTATTGTCATTTTACAAATTTATTTTTTATTTTTTGCAGTTGATAATAATGGCCAACGAAAGACCAGAGGCTGAACTTTGAAAGAATTGTTTACACTACCTCCGAACGAGCGTATTGTAGTGTCTGCAAACTCTAATAGGCAACCAATTGGTGAATAGGCTCAATTGTTAGCTAAATTTCTATGCATGCTTGCCCATAATGGAATGAAATTGCCTATTCATTATGAAACATGGCATAAAGTTTCAGCAAAAATTAAAGCCGATGCTTTAAACTTTATTGAGATATTAGTATAATTAATTACAAATAAAAAAATTAATTATTTTAAATTTGATTTATTGATTAAAACTTTTCTTTTTGTATTATTATAGTCAAAATTTGTATTTGAAATACCAACTTCATTTGTGTTTAAATCATTAAGAAATAAATGGAAAGATTATAAGCATAATTTGAAGAATAAGTATTTCGATCGAAATATTACTGTAGAGGTGATGAAGGAAAATCTACCCCGTAATGTGATTAGGTGGCAATATGAACAATTAGTTAGATTTTGATTATCAAAAAAAAGAAAGGTACTAATTTATAACTTTGTATAGTAGAATGAAATAACGAAAGTGTTTTATACTTTAAGTTGGTAATATTTGAATTTCTACCATATACGTAATTATTTTTTATGACAGAAAAGAGAACAGATTGGGATTGATAGCAAAAAGCAATAAAAATATAGCCACACAAGTGGATCAAAAAGTTTTGCAAGAAAGCAAAAAGAAATAGTAAGTTTATGATTTTAAACTTATTCCAATAAATGAACTTTTTGTGCTATTAAAAGGTAAATATGTAAATTAATAGTTATTGTTCTGTTTTAATAGTTTTGATAATTTCAATACATGATATTAAATTTATCAAAAGTTTTGAACTTAGTTAATATAGATGATATGTATGAAAAAGTTATTGTTTATGTCTATTTAGGTAAAAATACAAATTTGTTGTTATTGTTCTATTTAAACAGTTTGGATAGCTTTAATACTTGATATTAAACTTGTCCGATTGATTGAACTTGGTTTTTATGGTTGATATGGGTGAAAAAGTTATCATTTATGTCTATTTTAGACTATTTTTACCTTTAAAAGGCAAAATTACAAATTAAACTTTTGGATGGCTTTCAACAGTTTGAATGGCTTCAATCCATGATATTAAACTTGACCAAACAATTGAATTTGGTTGCCATGATCGATATGTGTGAAAGGTCAAAATATTTTTATTGTTTGCGTCTGTTTAAGACTATTGTATTGTGAATGGGCCAAAATATAAATACATGATATTCAAATTATTCAAATTTTTTGAACTTGATTAACAGGCATGATATGCATAAATAAGTAGCGGTTGATATGTATCCTATCAAATAACATATATATTTTTTTGTATAGGAGATTGAGATGGACGATAAAATTAGACGTCTGAAACTTTTTCACTTAACATACACAAACAAAGATAGATATTACATGAATGTCGAAACATAAGAAATTGTGGTAACTTACAACATCTATTTTAACAGAAAGTAAATATTTACTCTTTTTAACCTATTATCAATTAATCGTTAAACTTAATAGTTGTTTATAACTAATTTATAGGAGAAAGCGAAAGAGAAAATGACTGCTAAGATTAAAGTAGCATCTGATGGTTCTTTCAATATGCAAGAATTGAAAAATAAGATATTCATAAAAGTTGTTGGAAAAGGAAGACATGGATGGGTCGAGGCCTTGGATTGGGTCCAACACCATCTACCTATTATTGACGTAACTCTCAACAATTTACATTCTCAGCAAGTCAGTTTTCGTGAGACATTTCAATATTAAGAGAGGAGTTACAAACCATGCAACAATGCTTTCAGCAATTGGAAGCAGAAAGAGAATATGAGCGTGCCAAAATTGAGGAAGAACGTGCTAGAATGAAGCAAGAAAGTGTAAAATTTCAGTAGTTGCATGATCGATTCGATCATCTTATGAATTTTGTGCAACAACAATTTTCAGGAATTGATCTCGGTGGTCCACCAATTCAGGTATTATATTTAGTGAATATTTATATTTTTTTAATATAGAAAAAGATTACAATGAAGTGTTAAAAATTGTATGCTATTATTAGTAGGTCCTTGAATACGTTAATGATCAAGGTGAAAAAATTCCTTCATCAATTGGCAACCTTCAAAATCTATGCAGTCAACAATTTTATACATTTTAATTTTTATTTTGTTAATGTATTAACAAAAATTTGAATTTTATTATACTAATTATTAAACTTTGTGTCAATTATGCATATTTGAACGTGAATTAAATTTATATTAATTTCAGTTTTTGAATTTAAGCTCGTTTAAGAAAATAATAAATATTAACAAAAATTTTTTATTTAAAAGAAATATATTTCTTAATTTCACGGCATTTGCATTCAAGAATATCGTTAAATGAATAATTTAGTGGCATTTGTATCATAAAATGCCACTAAAAGTAGCGACACTCTTACTAAAAAAACCGTTAAATTAGTGGCATTTTTTTGATACAAATGCTACCAAAGTAACGGCGTTTTTTTAATAAAAATACCACTAAATTAACGACATTTTTTAGATTCAAACGCTGCTAATATAGCAGTATTTTTTAAATACAAATACCGCTAATATAGTGACGTTTTATAGAAAACGCCGTTATTTTTCGCAACGGGTGTATAGTCGATACTCTAATTGACGTTTTTCATAAACATCTTAAATCTTTTAATGACGTTTATAAATGTCACTAAACGTTAAAAAAATACCACTAAAAATCTAAACTCTTGTAGTAAACGTTACTGAGTATTTGTCATTGCAGGATTCAATTTACAAATACTTTGAGGTCATCTTGATTTTTCCTGCCCGCAATGCCATCTTCAATGACCCAAGAATCAACTGGATCTGCAATCCAGTGCACAAGCACAGGGAGCTCTGAGGACTCACCTCTAATTTTTTAATGGTCGGATTCATTGTAAACGTGAGATGACTCTCGTGAAGTTAAATAAAATAATAAATAAAATGATTTTATGATTGATAACGATAAAATTGTTTCGAAAGGCATAAAGAAATTTCAAAAATATTTATGTAATAATAATAGCCATTGCTACAATTAATTAAATTGATTGTATTATAAAATTTGTAACGATAAAATTTGCTATTAAAATTAAAGAAATCATTGCAAAAATAAATTTACTAATGACAATATTAGATATGTAAAAAATTTTTCAACGAATATGGTCATTGCTAAAATTATTTATTGAAACGATAAAAATCATGATGCTAAATATAATTTAGTAATTATATATGATTAGGTTGCAAAAAGGATTTTGTAATCAAATTTAATAATTGCTAAAATGAAATTAAAAGAACATTTAATTATTACAAAATATTTTATGTAATTAAAATAATATTGTTAATGTAAGTTTTTATAATTAAATTTTATAATTGCCAAAATAAAATTTATACAATACTACTTTGTGTTGCAAAATTTTACACAATGATATTTTATCACTATAAAAAAATGATTTATACGAAAACAACTAAAAGCAATACCTTTTTTTTTCGGCTTGCCAATCTATATGTCAATGCTACCAAACCTAATAGTCTTAGAGTCAATGCAATGAATTAGTCAATTAGAGATGGTACACTGGATTGAGTTGCTCAAGCTTTATATCAGTAACAAGTTCTTGGGCTTATTGTATGTTCCTGATAAAAAATTTTCATCATTTCACCTAGTCTTTCAGAAATTCTAGACGTTCAAATTAAGAAAAATGGATGCATAAGTTGCCATGCAATTGCTCTTGGCATGTCCTGTGGCTACGAGCCTTACCAACAGAAATATGGTTATCCAGTTTTTCCCGGTAAAATATGTGCCTCGTTAGCACAGGAATGCCAATGCTTGCATCTGCTGCTTAGCGGAGGTAAAGTTCATGATTTGCTAGTTCCTGGTTTAACGTAGAACATGGTTTTGAGATTTAAGCAAACCCCCTGTAATTTTTGCACTTTCAGGGTGATGAGAATGAACAACTAGGGAACAAAAAATTTTCTGATGTGTTATTTAGTGGAGCTGTAGGGGACAGGAATATCAATGGTAGGCTGGCCATTATTGGCTTTGTTGCAGCCTTGGCAGTCGAGTTAGCAGCTAGGTGGGATTCCATAGTTACTGGGAACCAGTGTTGTGATAGCGGCTGCGTCTACTATCCCATTGTTGAAAGGGGTCAAAATCATATACCATTCCAGCATGCAAATACATCTGAACATGACCGGGCTGAAAGTCTAGAATCTTCTATCGAGAATCCAGAAAACGTCACGCCCCATGCGAAAAGACCAGAATGTCGAGCCATTATGGAACCAACAAACCTAGAATGCTGATGGCCTCAGAATCACTGATTTCACTTTCTGGTCATAAAAGAGCCCACGTCACCTAACTCAAACGTGTGTGGACAAACAAGCCCACGTGACTCAATCACTTTTGAACATTAGATACAAAATGACGTGGACCCAAAAACATCCACTCCCCCTTTCTCCATTGCCTATGCTATATAAGTTGATGCCACCTACCTCACTCAATGCTAAAAGCTTCGGATTATTAAAGTTCTTGGCTTAGAGCTTTGTTTCGTTGCCAAACAAATTTTACTGGCTTTTGCTCTCTTCTTGTTCAGGTAAGAAATTGTATACTTGCAAGGAAATGGCCGCATCAAGTGTCATGCAATCCCTCCTGCTGGCAGGTGGCCTTGCTAATAGGAGTAAGGTGATTCAATTTTTTCCTGTAAAATCCATGCCTCGTCTGCAAAGAAATGCCAATCTTCAGGTTCGGTGCTTGGCAGAGGTAAGTTCTTAAGTTCACACTTTTTTATTTACTGGTTTTAAGAATTTAGAGAGGGGGAGTAAACCAGTTAAATGATCCATTTTTGCACTTGCAGGAAGACCAGAGGGAGCAACCAACAACGCCTGTAACAGGTTCAACCCCAGAATCTAAGCCGAATCCCTCTCCAGCACCAGCAACACCAAAAGTGAGTACGAAATTCTCTGATGTGTTGGCCTTCAGTGGACCAGCACCGGAGAGGATCAACGGAAGATTGGCGATGGTTGGCTTTGTTGCAGCCCTGGCAATGGAGCTATCCAAGGGCCAGGATCTGTTTACCCAAATATCAGACGGTGGGATCCCTTTGTTCCTTGGAACAAGCATTGTGCTATCACTTGCATCTCTGATTCCATTATTTAGAGGCGTGACAGCTGAGTCCAAATCTGAAGGTTTTATGACTTCGGATGCTGAGCTGTGGAATGGGAGGCTTGCCATGCTGGGGATTGTCGCTTTGGCTTTCACTGAATATGTCAAGGGTGGAGCCCTAGTGTAATTTTTGTTCTTAACTCTATGTTTCTTAGGTTACAAAAATTCCGATCTGTGGAAAAACTTATCACCTATCCATGTAATTAGCAAATCGGAAATGTAACGAAATTTCCATGCCTTAAAAACTCTTTGACTGCGATGGGAGGATGGGAAAGTAATAATATAGATATCTCCATATGAATAGGTGAGATGATTACTGATTAGCTATCTTGATATTTAGAGTAAGGGTGATGATAATTAATTAGTAGCGATAAAATTAAATTTATAATAATACCAATGATTTAAATACTATAGTAAAATCAATTATGCAAATATGCGTTTAAATAAATAATGGATGGTAAAATTAAATATGACAAATTAATTCTTTCACAAAAACAATTAATTGACTACTCAAAAATCCAGTAAATTATTAAACCCTCTCTAGTTGTAAATTGGAAGAGCAGTGTCTAGTTGTAAATTGGAAGAGCAGTGTAATTGAAAACCCTCAACTGCAACAGTGGAATGCTAGCTTAAATGCACTACATCATGCGGAGGCCAAAATCCCCTTAGATTTCATTAGGCCCTTATATGATATTAGGAAGTGAAAATACTAATTTGCCGACAATTTTATGACAAAAAATCTCAGTACAAACTTAATCAACCTCAGGTCAGCATGTAGCACTAAATCTGAAGTCGAGTGGGAAAGGAGCATATTTATTTTCCTGGAACTATATTATAGAACTGGAATCACCAATTCTCTCTTTATTTCATACAAGGATTCTAAAAATTTATCTACCTCAAAAAGGCCTCTACAGTGTTTCAAACATATAAACAGAAAAGAATTGAGAAGAATACATTTTCTGCTATTTGCTTTTATGTATTTACAAAAAACACCACGAACATTACATGCTTAGCACAAGCGTATGATATTATATTAATGCCCTTACAGATCAACCTGAACTCTGTGTTCATTCAACTCCCCATTCAATTCTTCATGGTAAATTTGTTTCTGCAGAATAGTAAATAAATCGTAACGAGTTTGAAATCATAATGAGTGGTTAAGGAAGCGAAAAAAGGTCTGAGTAACAACACCATGCAAACTCGACCAAACTATACTACATAATTATACATTTCTGATTAAGACGACGACAAAATAAAAAAAAAAAAAACTTAATTATGATGTACTACCAGTAAAGTAGAATCAAAGGTTTACAAAAGTTCAATACAATGTGAAAGAATTATACGAAAAGAATGAACCTTTAGAGGAGATTCATAAACTTACATTGGCATGCAGATCAGCCGGGAATAAATTTATAGCACTTGCGTTGAAACTGAATCCACTGAAAAGAAAAAGCGGCAGAGGATGGAGTAGATATCAGCGACAATCATATATATGGTATAAACTAAAAAAACCTAAAAAACTAAAACAGCACCGAAAGGGACAGACATAGAGTCAGTTCAATTATACAAATTATTAAACATAGCAATGCCCAAATAACCTGGACACCAGATTTTTTTCCCTTCACATTTTTGCTTACAATTCTTTTAAGGTTGTGAATATTACCAGCGGGATAGGACAAGCTGCCACACATATGGAATAAAGAACTCCTCTGGATGACTTTCTTGTTCATATGAGAAGTGTAACTGAGTAAACATCTGTTAACATAAAAAAGTTCAAGATTAGGTGAAGAAAAGTGCAAGAGAGAGAGAGACCAAATGTCCACATTGAGGAAGAACCAAAATGCATTGAAATTGCAGCAGCCATACTTCATAATAAAAGGATTTAGTGTGCGTGTGTGTTTGTATAGAACTTTGCATTTTCCAAATGAAGCAATATACTGTCATTTAATTCTACCTTCATCCCTTCACCTCGCCAGGATCGGCAATTATTAATTATGAACACAAGAACTTTTTCTACAGACCATTCACCATCCAATCTTTGGGCATCCATACGACTGTTGAAAAAATCTAATACCTATAAAAGCCATAGATGTCAAAACAATCAAAAAGCACCCAGAAAGAACTAGGAAATCTTAATATTGCAACAACTATCTGAACTTTTTCTCTTACAAGAACCAAGAATGGCAGATTAAATGATGAAATTCATCACACAAAATTACAGAGCATACATTATAAATATTTTCAAGAAGCTCGGTAAAGCGAGGATGGTTCTTGAATGGCTGAAAGACTTCCTGCCTGTGCATAATGGCATATACAACCTGCCCACATGCATAAAACATTCAGTTTCAGATCCATGTTGGTAAGCGTTGCTAAGAATATAAACAAAATTATCACATATAACTTAAATAAATATATACCTCAGGATTCCGTGGCAGTGCATAAGTCAAAATTGCATTTAATATTTCAAGGACGATTCTCAAGAAGTCGGTATAAATTTGCAATTCTGCTGACTGCAACAAGGGGAATAAATATTATTTAAGGATACCCAGATAACATAATTTTTTACAAAGTGCTACACTACATGCAAAAACCAGGACAATTACCATATCTTCCACAACGTTGTTCCCTGTTGAGATGGCTTTAGTTTGTATTTTATCATTACTTAGCTCTACCAATTTGTTGTACCTAAAATTCAAGACACATTTGCAAAAACAGTTAGAAAAGCTGTGCCAACATAACAAAATATGTAAAAATCACTGAAGCGATCAATGGAAAACTAATAAAACATTCTGGTCAAGAAAAATGGTATAAACATAGATTACTTACTTGCGTGAAAGCATATAGAAAAGGCTGACAAGTCTCTGAGAAGCATATGCACTCAAACGATGGATGTGAGGTGCCATATTTGCCAAAGTTGCTAGACAAGTAGTGTGAAGATAGACATCCTGTTCATTCAAAAAAAAAAAAAAAGAAGAAGAATAAACTGCTGCATTTGATAACCCAATTAATCCATTATTAACAGATGTAGCATCCATCTAATGGAATATTTCTACCCTTAAGTTAAAATACTCATTATCTCCACCAAAATATGAAGAGAGAAGTCCAGCCATTCAAAAATAATTTCCTGGATCCTACTTCAGCAAACATAACATGATCAGGCAAGAATCTAAGACATTCAGAACCATACCCGCAACTTAGACAAGTTATACTGTACAGTCCTTATCAAAATTATGACCATCAGGGAACCAAGAGATGTCTGATGAAGAAGGTGCTCTTTATACCACGGAACACCAGACAATATCTGTGCAATACATAAGGCATCAAGATAATACTCATGCATTGGAATCAAGAGTTGGTAGACAGATGAGATGCTTACCATCTTGTGAATGCTAGCACTGAATGAAGAATCTTGACTAAGTATGAGAAGAATAATCAGCAACATGTATATTTGATTTGATGTCCTCCTCGAAGCATTGTATAATGTTTCCAAGATGGGCATCAACTGTTGATTTTCAATGTGCAAACACATATTAAAACTATGCTATATGCCACATATCATACAATTAGGCTGACGTGTTGCTATATGCCATGTAAGCTTAAGACTATGCTATATGCCACATATCATACTATTAGGCTGAGGTTTGCACATAAAACAAACCTAAGACGAACAATTAAAACAAAAGAATAAATGAGATCAAGCAGAATGTCATGCAATGTGTTGGCTTAAGCAATTGATACAAATTGTCAACAATTCAAGGTCTTTCTTTCTTTTTTTTTTTTTTTTTTGCTTTGGTGGAAGAAAAAGAGGGGGGAGAGGAGGAGGAGGCGGAGATCTTTTTTTTTTTTTTTTTTTTGGTGGAAGAAAAAGAGGGGGAAGAGGAGGAGGAGGCGGAGATGCCAAGAAATTTTTAAGTTTGTTAACTAGACACCTAAAAAATTCATGTCCTGTTGAAAATTGATTGGAAAGTAGTTTTCCAAAGGGAATTGCTCAGGGCTATATATGACATGTAGATAATGTAAGCTGCAGCTTCTTACCAAAGTATCCAAATCAGTTCGCACTAGTACATACTCCAAAAAGTCCGAGTTTCCTTGCACCAATGAGTAAAGTAAAAGAACGGCAGTCTCATCAGCCAAGCACCTGTAGATGTGAACATTTTATGAAATACTAAATAATAAAGAGAGATGAACCGCAAAAAATAGACAACCGATTCCAAATATAGTTACAAGTACCAAGGCATTTGCTTCAATCAAAGATTACACCTCTGGTGAGGGTATGAAGAACCATACAATAAAAACTTACACTCAAGTCAATTTTTCTTGATACAAGAATTTTAAACAAACATCAGTTAAGAGAGAAAAGGAAGAGGGGAAAAAAAAAGCCAACAACCATTACCAAGGAAATAGAACTAATTTTTGGCAAAATGTTAGCAAACGCTATCAGGAATAAAGAATCAATCATACAAACTTATTGCCAAAGTTGCCCACTTTAAATACCAAAGGAAAAGGAAAATGGAAAGCCTTAATAATCTCATAAAGGTAACTTTATTCATTCACATATTGATATTAGAATAGGACACTTACATGCCGAGGGTATCAAATAGCGATGCAAAAGGTAATCTCACCACTGGTCCATTTTGTGCATTCCCCTCAACATCGACACGATCAACTGCAATCACAGCGCTTACACATTCACCAACATTGTCTAAAATGTCACCGTACATGTATGCTAAAAAAGTATAAACAGAAATACAGAACACACACACACACACACATATATAGCTACTATCATAAAAAGGAAATGGAAAGACATCTCACATTCAATATCCCTTGCATTTCCTAAGGCCTCGCTGTAGGGGTTCACAGTGAAATATGTATTTAACTTTGAAACAGATTCCGAAGTGGCACTGTCATCACTTCTATCTGTTATCAACTCATCACTTACAACACATTTATGGTAATGAATGAGAATAAGTAGCACATGGAGACTGCAGTCTGCCAGTTGATTTTTAGAGCCTTCAACATTTGAACTGACCCAATAATTGAATGGCAACAACACAATGTTTGCTGCAAGCATAACATATAAATGTTATCATAAAAATTTTCAAGTAAAAGAAGCTTGCAGAATTGCACATAGATTAGGAAACGGTATTAATGAGGGCATGAAGGAAAACACCATACCAGCAGCAGAACCAACTCTTTGTAAAACACCAGGTTGACTTTCTTCAGAAAAAATAGAATACGAAGCAGCAGTACTCGAGGGAACCCGAGGTCGTGTTATATAATTGAGCAGCAATCTGTGAACCACCAAATTAACCAGCAAACTTTCCTGCAAAGCAATAAATGAGTATGCAAATTTGAAATTTTTGGAACAAAAAATCAAGCAAAGGTTTTAATTTATAACCTGAGACATTGCTGCATCGATAAAAGGATTCACATCTTTAGGCCCTGGGGATGGTCCAGAAAGAAGTTGAGTAGACATTGCAACAAGCACGAAGTTAAGCAACTCCTGATGTAGAAGGGATGTAGTTGGACTTGCGAGGAAAATAATGTTATATTAGGAGAAAATTAAATAGAAATGTCAATGTTAGAAATACATATTAAGCCATGGTGTACCTTACATCTATTGAACCAAGAAAGCTAAGCACATAATGCATTACAAGATTCTCAATGCTTTGATCTGCACATTAGAAATAAAAATTTCAGGTCATGATGCTATTTACCATTAAAATAACAACTTCAAGATACTTAGTTATAAACTTTAATTTCAAAACTGGAAAACAAATAATGATGAAGAGACAAATATTTACCTATAACAAAATCCTTAGGCACCGGTTCATTTTCATGTAGAGACAAACCTAACTCCTCAATGTTGTCACTCTGTGAATTCTCAATTATGTACTTCAAAAACACAGATGAAATACACACTGCGTTAACAGCCTTCACATAAACCGGTGATGGAGCACCAGAAGTTCGAATCACCTCTTGTAAACACCATGACAGGTGAATCAAAATCTTTGCAAGGTGCCTGGTTTGGCGGTTGTTTTGTGCTGCGCATGAAAGATCCAGCACAAAGAAACAAAATCAGAATCATTGAAAATATATGAAACAAAACGATCTTCAATTAATAATGATAGAGTTTTAAACGAATTTGTTAGGAGTTATAAATTCAAAAAGTGCCATTCACAACTTAGTCATTGAATTTGGAAATTGATAAATAAAATTTAATTAGCTCTGTTTTGGTATGTTTGGAAGTTGAGTATAGTTTCATAAGCGAACGTACATGCCATCAACTTAGTAAGATGAAATATCAAAAGATACCAAACAAATATGTTATATAATTTTGAGATATTTTTATATCATCAAGTCCTAGTAAATAAAATTTCCTAGCGTCGATAAGATTCAAGCAGAAACTCGAATCTCCGACTCTCTCCAAACAGTCTTTAGTAACAACTAATGTAGAAAATGGTTGAATTTTGCGCAGCATAAAAAGTAAGCAACAAATTACTCCACAACTTATTCCAAAGAAAAGGATTCTCAAAATGTTTATGGAATTTGGAAGTAAATTGCGAAAGAATGCACTGACCGAAGAGCTGGCAAGCTTGGCGAACACGATGAGGGGCCCAGCGTAGAGTCAGAGGAAGTTCTAGAAGCCTCTGCCAGAAATCGGAAGCCAAAGGAAACGATTTCACGCCGACCAAGGTGTCGATTAGGTACTCCGCCGTTTCGGTGGTGGTACTGGTGTGGCGCGGCGTCGAAGGCACCGCTCCCATTCTTCCGTTCCGTCGTCTAAAAAGTCGAAGAATGGCTGTTTGACTCAGTGAGTCAAGAAACAAACGGATTTGATGAGACGGTGGAAGAGGAAGCGAGTTAAGGGATCTTACAATCGGAATCAATTGGCATTGCAAAGAGAAGAGAGATCTGGCTGGTGTGTTTGGCGAGAAAGAAAGCGAAATTTAAAAATGGAAATGAAGTTTCAATTGAAAAAAAAAAAAAAAAGAAACGAGAAGGAGCTTAGAGACGAAGATTTTGAAGAGTTAGAGAGAGAGAGGGTAATTTTGTTTTCTCATTTTTTCTTTGTTCTTTTTTTCACTTGGAAACTCAGAAATTGGTTTTTAGACGATGTTGCCGTTATTATTTTGTGAGTTTTCGGAATTGCCCTCCTTCCTTTGTTTAAATTACAAGTTTATTTGCAGTTTAATTGTAGATTTTTATTTGGACGGGTTATTCAACTTAGCAGTGAATGAAATAATTTTTAAAAAATTTTTAGTGTAATTAAAAAATAAAAAAATATTTTTATTATATTAATTTATTTAAAAAATTTATTAACAGTGAATTTAATTTTTTTTCTTAATTTAATTTGGAAATTAAGATAATAAAAAATAAAGAAGTATTATTTTTTTAAGAAATTACAAATACAAATTATCATCATAATAAGCATTATATTAATGAATAATTAAATAAATCAATTAATTGATAAATTAGAATAGTAAATTAAAGTAAACCCATGAATATGAAATATGAATCTAAAACTTTAATATTTTAAGATTTTTTTACCACTAAATTAATATTTTATTGATAATAAAGAAATATTATTTTATACTAAAAATATTACTTTATTGTATAAAAATATTGTATAACTTTATTTTATTTTTGGTAAGAAGGGCAGAAGGGTTAAAAGTATTTATTTTAATATAATAATTGGGTTAGGCAAGGTTTTACTAAATAACTAACAATTGTAAAACAATAAATACTAATAATTCCAATATTATAATGGAGAGTAATTTAGTCTTTGCATACCTTGAAAGGTGAAGTTTCTTTATTAATTGCAGTCTTCTTGTCATTGACAAACTTGCTTCGTCGGCAAGAGCCCGGCTGGAAATTAGTGAAATAAAATTTTCCTTTCTTTATTCCATTTATACCTTTTTTTTTTCTTTTAAATTACTAAAAAATAATTTAAAATATCAAGTAATTTTCATAGCAATTAAGCAAATCGCTGTTTCTGACTTTCTGCCAAAAAGAAAAAAAATATTTTCTGTCCAATGAAAATTCTCTTCTCCACACACATTTCATATTTTTAAATAAAAAATTCCCTTTCTCTGAATTTCATTTTCTTCATTAAGTAAAATGACTTTTTTTTAAAAAAAAATTCAGCTAATAAATCTGATCCCATGTTGGACGTGCCAGCAATTAACGTGCGCCATCCGTTTGGTTGACTGCTAGATATTTATGAGTCTTCTTTGACTTTTCTTTTTTATTCAATATTATAGCGCGTAAAAAGCCTGCAACATTTTTGCCCATCGAAGTCCAATGGCACACTGATTTTCCAGACAAACCATTGTATTTAATCTTTTTTTTTTTTTTTTTATTGTTGTTACGTTGCTTGACCAAGAAGAAAAAAGTCTTGTTTTATAACTTTCCTTTAGGAACTTATAATTTGTATTTTCCACTTTTTTACAGTCAAGCTTTAATTTAATTATTTTTAAAAAATAATATTTAATAAATTTAAAATAAAAATCTAAATATTTATCATTCTTTTTTTATTTTTAAATTACGATTTTGTAAAAAAATATTTTAACATTTATTGATTATACTTTCTTTATAAAAACGATATTTAGCTCCATTTTAATAAACCCACTAAACTTAAGTATCCTGCACTTGAGGTAATAGTACATTTTGGGTTAATTATCTCACTTAATTACTATATAATTAAATTCTTAATTGTTTTTGGATAGATTTAATCCAATAATTTCCAATAAGGTGTATGTGTTTGTGATTTCTGAAAATATTTATAACCTAAAACTAGGATAACATTAATTAACAATAATAATTGTGAATAAATTATTGTTTAATCCATCTAAACCTAACTAGCTTGATACTTTTTAATTCCTGGTAGTCTTGATTTTAAGAATTTATTGGAAAAGTTGACATGTTAAATAACATGATTTATAAATTAAAAAAAAAAACTCTATTTCTTTATTAGTGGAATTTTACTTTTTTTGTGAAAATTTGACAGTCCATTTTTAAAATTGTTTAAAAAATTAAATTCAGATAAAATATAAAAATATCGCTGTTTGTATTATTAAAAAAAAAGTAGTATGTTTAAACAAGGATGGAGAGCCGGCCGCAACTTCATTTCAACTATACGTTAAGGTGGGAAGGATATTTCAATGGAAAGGGAATCTCGGATAAAAGTTGTTTACGTTGCTTAATCAATGATTAAGGGAATGAGAAGGACAACGCTTTGTGGATAATTACAAAGGAAAAAGGATAAGTTTTCTCATAAATGAAAGACGAAAATAAGATTGAGACGTGAGAGTTGGGCTGTGTCGGTGGGTAAAACACTATAGCCCTTCGAGGCTGAGGTAATATGATTGCCCCTTGCCCGCCCTGGTCCTTTTCTTTCCTACTGTTGGGGGAGCCTTAATTTTGAAAATACCTTATTGCCCTTGGATTAAAATACTTCAATATGCTTGTGTGATGGATACTCTTTACAATTTTAATAGAAAAAAAAAAAAAAAGAAAAACACTTGTTTTCTTTGGCATCTTCACTAATTTTGTGGACGAAATTTGCCAATAAAAATTTAGTAACGTGAACGAATAAAATATTTGAATAAAAATAATTTATGAATAAATTTGATTTTTGTTAATTTATGTATGTTTATTAAATTTAATAAATAATTATAAATAATTTTTTTATAATTTCTTAATTAAATGAATAAAATACAAATATAATAAAATTTATTTATATTTATGTTAAAACCCAATTCTTTGAATAAAGAATAAATGTACCTTAAAGTAATTCCATATTTTTTCTTACTAAGTAGTATGTCAAAGCCAATGTAATAGACAAAAGTGATCTATTTCAATAAGATAAGTTTGTCGGAGCCTGGGTTTTTGGCCTAAATACGAGTTAGGTGTTTCATCTTACAAATGAAAGAAGAGAAAACATTTTATATTGTTTGGCTGTCTAACAAAAGCGTGTAGGTTTATATTGGTTTTAGACCAAATATCTTTTAAGTCAATTGCAAAGTGCAAAAAATAAGTAAAAACATTGGCAATGTTTGGTTTCTACCAATCTTATGCCTCTAGAAAAAATATTAACGGAGGGTTTTTGAAATGATATATTTATATTGTGGACAATTTCGAGTTTAGTGTCTGTTACACCATGGTTTTTACACCAATTCTAAGAAGTCATATATGGTTAATTAGTGATCACCAACATAATAATATTGTATTTAGATTTATTAATAACGGTCAATTTTTGGTTGATTAGATCTTTTTTAAAATTTTTATTTTATATAAAATAGATCGTAATATGAGAATAAAAAAAATAAATTTTAAATTTTTTGAATTTTTTTTTAAATAATTATATAAATTAATTAAAATAAGACTTATATTCTCAATTATTTTTTATGAGATATATAATGCACATTTCCAGATGGTCGAATGCTCTCTTTTATTTTTTGGTTAAAAATAAAATATATCAATGAAATGATGGTATTGGATGATCATTTGAAAAGTTTCAGATGATCTATCTACCTTAATTTTTTATCATCATATCAGAATTCAACGATGAATTTATAATAATTCATGTATTTATGTCATATAAGATATTAGTAATTTATTAATATTATATTTTATATAAAATTCAATATTATAATTTATATCAATATAAAAAATATATAATATTTTTTAATTATTATTAAATTTGTATTTAATTGTTATTAAAATTTTTAATTTATATTATTTTTATGCCGTTTAGACTTGCCATGGGTTGAGCAATCCGTTTAAATTTGAAAGCCCATCAAAATTGTAGAGGATTTATATATAAATGTTAAGCTCGTTAAATAGATCTAGAGAAATAAATAAGATCCAATCAAAAAATAAGATTGGATTTGAATTTTATTATTTTATTATAATAAAACAAGAGCTATTAGCTTTTATTACTTATAATAGAATAAAACCTATTTATTTTTTATATAAAATAATGATTTAATTTTAAATTACATTCAATAAAATTAAATTAGATCAAAATTTAAATGATTTATAAATTTAATTAAAATTAATTAACTTAATTAAATTAATAATTTATTAAAAAATTAAAATGTATAAGTGTTTTAGATGAATTTAGACTTTATTATTATATGTAAAAATAAATTTAAACAAAAAATAAAACTAAAAAAAAATCAAATCGGATCTGAATTTATTTAAAATACTGAAATATTATACTAAACCCGACCCGATCTCAGCTTGCCCGCTCATGAGCAGCTCTAATGCCGTTTTCGTCTCTTCTAACCGGTGAACGTTAAGTGGTGGTTCATTTGACAGTTTGCTTGGAGTTTGAAACTCTACTAAAAAAATCGAAGTCTTTTTGGGTTTTTCCCATGCAAACTTGGGTATGAGAGGGTCGTATGTGTTGCAAGCCCAAATTTGCTTCTTCTTTTTTTTTTTTTTTATTTCAAATAAACCCTTCCTGCAGGCTAAAATGAAAAAAAAAAAAAAAAAAGACCGCAATAAACACAACTTAACATGAAAAATAAATAAAGAAACGCTCAAAATTGATTTGTCAACTTTCTCAAATGGATTTAGTTGATCTCCCAATTCTGTGACTGTATATGTGCAGAGGGAACACATGTACAATAGTAATAAAACTAAAGGAAAAGGCCCTTTTGCTCGTTAAAAAAAAAAAAAAAAGGCAAAAAAGTAAAGCTGTATGTCATCCAAACCCTTTTAAGAGCTGCACATGTTCTACAATTGCCCAACGGTGTCACAGTCGAGCTCTCATCACAATTTACATCCAAAATAAATTTTTAATCTTTTAGTTTCATTCAGACTTTGGCAAATAATTCACTTTAATTCTACCATTCGTAGATGAAATGTAAATCTTATTTTTTAGTAAAAAGAAAATCGACGTCTATTTATAGAGAAAAAAGTTATAATATTAAAATTTAAATATTACTTTTTAAAAGTAATTGCATGAATTATTAAACTAAACTTCAAGTTCAATATAAGTTTTATTTGATGTAACATGTTTTAATCAAGGGATATAAAAATTTATGATTTTATATGCAGTTCTTATAGAATTCATCAAAATGCAAATTTTGTCTAAAAAAGCATTAAAAAACACACAAGATGACAAGAATAATAGCAACGTATAAATAATGAAAATATATCTGAGCACGAAGCTATCTCCAAAGTTGTTTCAGGATGCAAATCAGATTCCAAGCTAATCACTTTGGTTTACAGCACTATGGCAAATCGAAAATCAATCTAGCTCTCTCCTGATATAATTATTATTATACGCCAAAAGTTGTTCCATAAGAAAATATAGAGGGGCAAATGTTTCAGATGACCTACAACACACTCAGAGACAAAATGCAACATGATTTCATGGCAGCATGATTGCATTATGTGCCGTGTGCCAAAGCTTTTTGATTAAAAAAAAAAAAATCTCAGAAGTATGTGGAAGTACAACTAAAAATCTAACTTGAATGACGTTATAATCAATGAGGGTCTTCCCAAGTTTCAACAACTGCCTAAAATGGCTAAATACGGATGAATTAAGAAAAGAGAAAGGGATGAAGAGCACTACAAGAAACCAAGAATAGAAAACTTGTCATTGTTTTGAATATCCCAGAAAAAGAAAACAAACTATTTTTTTAAGTAGCAGGGGGTTTTTTGGGATTTAGCCAATACATTTTCCCTTTAGGCCGGTTTATTTACATCAACCTAATGAATTCATGAGAAATTATTTTTTCAGGATCTCTCCAACCCATGTAACGAAGAAAAGACATTCTATTAGCCACTTAAACCAACCATATGCGGATAAAACAAGCTAATATTGCTATTGCACATTGGTTGAGTGTTGCTGATTTTTTATAATCAATGCATTCTTAATTCAATGTAAATCTACAAGCATTAATTCTTTTTGTCAATGTCAAGATTATTCAAGAAAAAACCTGAAGGTTTTACTTGGTTTTGGCATCACTGTGACCCTTCAGGCCGCCATCAAATATAAAGAAACCAGTAATGAAACGGTTTTATCATATCGGGGGAGCTGGTTTTTACCTCATCGAAGTTATATAAGAAACTAAACGAGCTTAGCTTCTTCTCTACTTGGGACTAGAACCCAAGTAGCCCAGCTGCTCAACTAAAACATCTACATTTTCCTCATCTTCATCTTCAACATCCGGAACAGATATTTCTTGTTCAATATCATCATTCAATAAATCATCCCAAAACCCCTCATCAAGGTTTTTATCTTTACTTCCATGTTCTTCTCTTTCCTCTACATGCTCAAGTTCTATGTTGTTTTGGCTCCCAGTCAGTCCCTGCAAGTCCATAACAAGTTTGTCTAGCTCTGAAACTTCAAACTCAGCAATATCATAGTCCTCAGGTTCAGCCTTGACAAAAGTTCCTCCTCCCACATCCTGGCTTAATTCACTAGTTTCAACAGTACTGCTGCTAGACCTTTGATCGATCCGCCGCCTTCTCTTCTTGGTGATTGCTTCCTCAAGTTCTTTTCTCATATCTTTCTGTTGGACTAGTTTCTGAAGCAAGCTTGGATTTTGCATTGCTTTGGCCAAGAAACTCATTATTTGTTGTTGTTTCATCTCTGTCTTCCTTAGTCTTTCTTCCATCGCTTGCAGGTAAGTATTAGTGTTCTGCTGCTGCTGTCTAAGTTTCAACAATTCCACCATTAAAACCTGCTTGTCACGCCTTAACCTATCAACCTCACCATCAAGTCCAAACCTCCCAACTTCAACACAAGGATCTAGAGCATACTGTGAAGCCTGAGGTTGATGTGTCTTTCTCCTCCTAATATTCTTTAACAGATGCCTTTGCCCTCTAAGAAAGCTTTCATTAGCAAACTCCCATCTATCTGGATCAACCTTTCTAAACCCCTACATGAATCAAATCTTTATTCTTCATGACCAAATTCAAAATTGGAGATAATGAAAGAGGCTATAATTCTAATGTGACAGCACTGCCACAGCAGATGCTACAGCATCATGATAATAGTGAATGAAATGTATGTTTTAAATATTCTGATTTCCGCACTTTCCATTTCCTAACTAGTAAACAAACAAAAATGTCCCCAACAAGTTGCCTCATTAAAAAATAAGAAAAAAAGGGCACCAGTTAAATCTCTATTCCAAACAGAAAAACCATAAAAAAAATAAACATAAAATACACAATCTAGCTCTTTCATGATATGAATGAATATGGATTAAGTCACATCTAGAGAAACTTATACAGTTTAATTCAAACACTAAGCAAAGAAAATTTATTTCTTTTTATTGAGCAAGTTTTAATCTTTGTAGCATTATTGTCTACTCCAAGGAAGAAAGAACTAGTAGTATTACTTACATAGGTATTGAGCTGCCTGACAAAGCTTGAGAAATTGTTGTGCTTGAAGTATCTAGGCAAAAGGCTTATGGAAAATGCCTGGGGATCCCATACAATCAAACTATTGTTGCCTTTACTCCAAGAGATGATGTGATTGGTGCTTGAATCATCAATAATATCATAAGTTTTTGTGAGGAAAGGAGGAGAACCTGCATCATGGAGTCCTTCCATTGGCTGAGGGGTACCCATAGAAGGCATATCAGGACATGATGAGCTTGCTCCTGTAAACTCTTCTTTAACTCTTCCATAGGGATTCATCTTTGCTTACCCACCAGGGAACAAAAACAAATAAAAATTTGATCTGGGTTAGTTTTATTGTTTCGTTGTATATCAGATTGAATTAGTTTTATTGTTTCGGTGATCGAAAGAGCCTTCAAAACTGGTTCTTGAATGCAGGTTAAGGAAAAAAAAGTATAGAGGTGAGATTGAATTAATTCAGATTATGAGTGGAGCCAAAAGTTCACCGGCTTAGGAAGATCGAGAAGTAGGAAAAACATGGAAGAATTGAGAAACCGGAGAGATGTGAACATGGATGTCATTATTTTATATAAAGTCATAATAAAAAATTGTTACCTATTTCTTTATATTTTCACTCATTTCTTTTCCTTTTGGTTGGTCTGGAGACTGATGATGAAAAAAGAAACCAGAATGGAGTGGCAATGAGATATTTTGCTCTCTCCCCCACAGATTACTCCTTTAGGAAAGTCGTTTGTCTTGGGTTGTGTTACCATATCTTTTCAGAGTACAGAGGCAAAGATTTTTGAAGGTCAAGACTCAAACAGCTTATATATGCAACGAATAGCATTCATTTATTTATTTTTCTTGATTTACAAAGCAAAAATGGATCTGAATTTTTGTAATTTCTGACACAGAAGATTCTAAAAGAACTGAGATATTTTGCTGTTTAGTTCCCAATAAAATTGTGGTTTAGATCAGAAAATTCTGCTACTTCAATTGCTAGAAGTTGCGTTGTAGCCTTTTGAGTGAATTTTAGAGTATTGCTAATCTTCACAACCCAATTTTTTTGTCAGAAGGAAAGTAGCATTCTACTTGGGTTTCTTAAATTTTGTCTAATACATGTTTTTTTAAATTGATTTACACCGATTTAGCGATTTCAAAGGAATAAATAACTTTTCTTTCTTTGTTTTTTTTGTCTTTTTCTCTGGGACTTTGAAAATGAGGATGACGTCAATATAAACAATTCTTTTTAATGAACGGTTACAGAATCTCGGAGGTTTGTAGAATTGCACCTGAAAATACGTTTACGTTGGAGAGATAGGGAAAAGGGTTGGGGGTTCTAAAAAAATCTAGATGTCGATTTTGTTTTTTGTTGGAAAATATTTAAGTATTTAAGTATTATTATATGCACTAGTCAAAGTAAATTCAAGTTTGGTGCATTATAAAATTCTAGCATTCTATCAAGGTGTTAAGAATCTTTTATATTTTTCCATTCACCAGATTTTGTTGATGGTGATACGTGGATGGCCAGCCAACCCCCTTTTTTTGGCAAAGGGGGGTGGATTTGTAAGCAAAATTAGATTAGGCCTTGAATGTTGAATTTGTTTATCTTTGATTTGGTCTACTTTCTCTTTTGATGTCGGTAATTTCAAGTATGGTAGTGTGGCACAATCTCATTGGTTTTGCAGCTTTATGTTATAATCAGCTGCTGAAAAGTTTACAGGTTGGACTTGTTCGGTGAAGTCAAAAGATAATCACATGCCATGTTTTTTTTTTTTTTCTTTATTTCCCTATTTTCCATCTTAATTCAAAGGTATAAAGTGTTAAATTTCTTTTAAGAACTTCTAAGTTTTTTAGCCCTGTTTATTGCAGAATTTTTTAGAGTTAAATATAAATTTAATAATTATATTTTATATTTGTCTCAAATAAAATAATAATAACGTATATGTACGTGGGATTTTGTTTTGGTTAAAATCGATGCTCTTACCCAAAAGAAGCAAAAGGCCAATAGCTGGATCCAAGAGTATGGGACGGGAGGCCTGATTGTCAGAAAAAGAATCTGTGATGAAAGATACACTTCACTTCATTCAACGCACCAAGTAGCACATTTCCAAGACAACGACACTTGATTAGGAATGGGCAAGCATATTTTTTCTTTTTCATTTTTTTGGAAGATAAGCGTAGAGCTTTTTCGAACATACCAGGCACAGGCAAATCTAACAAGAGTTTCAAAAGCAAGTTTAAGAGATTTTCAATTTTTTTTTTATTATTATTGGCTGAATTATTGCAATCAAGATCTTCAAAACTTTGTTCATTGTTGAAGCCATGAGATTCCCTTGTTTGAGATGGGGAACTCTCGGGAAGCTTATCTCAAGTGAGCAGAAGCCAATAGCATTATTATATATAAACACTTGAAATGGTTACATTGTTGGGTCAATGCCATGAAAATCAACGCCTGCTAATCTTCCTCCGCGCTTAATCTGCACATCTTTTCACCCACATCAAACCAACAGGATGTCCTATTAACGCCACGTAAAAACTGATAGAACTGGCTTTAATTTGAATTCAATTTAACTCAATTTGATCAATAAAAATCAGAAACTATAATCTTAAACTGATTAAATTAGTTTGATATTATAATGCAATAATTTATCTTGAAATAATGCAAAATTAAATTGATTTGATTTTAAAATTTGACAATTTAAATTTAAAATAATCACATTTAAGGATATAAGTAAACTAGACCTGATGATTTAAATATTATAAAATAATATAATATAAAAACAAAATGAAAAAATACAAAAACATATAATATAAAAATTATAAATAAATTGTTAAAAAGCAAAAAACATGGTGTCCAACAAGTCCATAAAAATTATGACACTATTTTTCCTGTTTTACATGAAATAAACAAAAAAAAAACACAAATTATTAGATTTAAAATAAAAAAATTCAAGAAATAATTCGTGAACAAACCCGGTTCCTGTTTGTTATGTTAACTTACTAAACTTGACGAATGACCATGAATAATATTTTATAATTTATTACTTAAATGAATAAATTACAAACATAATAAAATTTGTTTATATTTGATTTATTTACGCTTCTATGGGAAACCAATGAACTGAAGCCAAAAACTTTAATGCCATGAAAACAAAAATATATTAATCTTCCTCCGCATTAAATCTGCATATCTTTTCAACCACATCAACCATGAGAATGCTCGATAACACCACACTAGATCTAGAAAGTAACCCGAACTCAAACCCCCATCCCATTCGATTTAATAAAGAAAAATCAAGAATCTAAATCCAAATTAATCAAAATCTAAAATGATTTAAATTCAAGAGACAAAAACCTATCCCGAAATGATAAAAATTTTTAAACTCAACTATTCTGAAGTGACTCAAATCCCGAAAAAGCAAACCTGAATTGAGTCAAATTTGAAATGACCGAAACTAAAATTATCCAAACCCAAACTCAATCTAACCCATCCAATTACCGTCATCCAATCAAAATAGAATACCAAGATTCATAATGCAAATGTTCTCCTAATAAATTAAATCATATGATAAATACGTTGTTTAATTCCCCGGACCAGGACAATATGTAACGTACACCATAGAATCGTGCTTTCGAGATTCATAATGCAATTCATGAAAGTTGGTTTCATACACATAAAGCCACACGTTAAACAAGAATGGGCAATGGTAAATCCAATTTTAGACCAAAGCATGCTAAGTGAGAAATTGACAAATTATTTCAAACCAAAACATTTTGAAGCAGAAATCCAACCAGCAATGTACATATATACTTGATCATCGGGAGCCTATCGGATGGACAGCAATTAAAATGTAGAAATATTCGTAACAAGCCATACAGGCAAGCAAAATAACCCACACATACCACACAGTACAAGCAGACAAGCCTAGACTCGTTTGTTAAAGCCAATCTCGGGTTTCATATTATACCAGGTTTTAAGACCCAATGCAGTGGCAAATGCCAATTTCATGCTGCAGCATCAACAGCTTGACCACCACCTTCCTTCTGCAAAAAGTTTTCAAGATACTCCTTTCTACAATAGAAATCAATTAAGATTAAGCCCCTCAAATGCTTTTAACCAGAAACATGAAGACAAACTAGAGATTTTTTACCACATTGTAAGGAAGAAGAATACCTTGCAGGAAGATGATCATGAGGACGATTGTATGGAGTCCAAATTGGATCACCAACAAAGAGCCGCATCGCCTACATGGATCAATTTGTAAGGAAGTCTCTAGACTCACAATTCATGTTAAAAGATATACCGATAAATATCTTTAAAATTTTCTTAAGATCACAAGCAATGCTAGATAGAGAAACTGTAATAAGGTTCTATAGACAACACTGACCAGCGTGAATAAATAGAAGCAGCATAATGGAAGACCAAAAGAAAGAACTTATGCAGTTGATGATCAGAACTGAGGAGGCTAGAAGAAAGCAATCATCCTTTCAAAACAAAACTCAACCTTTCAACTCCATCAATCAGACTAATAAGGATACCCATATTGATAATCAGATCATAGAATGAAAGAAAAAAAGTCACTTGTGCAGTTCACGACATGGGATAAGAAGAGTCATTCTGTTCAAACATCATCAAATTTATGCACTCATTTAAGCTCCATTTGATTGGTACTTTTGCTTTTGGCTATTTGTCCCTCATTTTCAGTTTATTTTTAATTTTTTGTTTTTCACTTTCTATTGAAGAAAAAAAAAAGAAAATCGCAAAAGCATCAATCAATGAAGCCTTATTAAATGCAAGTCAAATTAAACGCATGAGGAGATCTCCTACACTGTGTTCAATGTTAAAGTCCACTTTCTGGAAAAATAGACGGGAAGGTGGGTTGCTTAGTACCTTAATGTAGTTGTCTGTATCCAGAGTAAACCGATGATAAATCCCAGCAGGCAAAACAATCATGCCTCCTTTCTTCACCCACACACGAATCCATTGATCATTGTGATCCCTGACATCAAAATAACCTTCGCCACGAAAAAAATGTTAAGAGAGCCAGAAATTAGTAAGAAAAGAGACTTATCATTATAGAAAACAGTCAGCATGTGCTCCTACCACTTCCTGCCACACAGTAACGAATCTCCTCATCAGTATGAAGATGCTCTTCAAAGAAATTTTTGATCTTCTCTTCATAATTTGGCAGCTTCTCTGGGCAAACCTCACAGAAGTCCTGAGGAAAAAAGTATCTAGTCAATGCAAGCATGTAGTATTATAGGCTATTAAGAGGAAGAATAGCCAAATCAGAAGCCTTAAACAAGTACTGCTTAAGTGACACACAGATAGAAATAGAAGAAAAACTAGTAAGTCTTCTTTTTGCATCTACTACCATCCAAGTATTGCATCCAAATATTGAATCAACGAATGGAAATAATACAAATAAAACAACTGGAAAATGAAAATTCTTTGATGGTTAATAAACCCTACTTATGAGCATTTAAACAACAACTCCTTGGATTAGGCTTAAGGCCAAGAATAATTCATTTGTTTGCACTGGAATCAAAGTAAAAAAAAAATAAAAAATCAGCTACACACCATGTAGGAGTAACCACGTTCTTCACGAATTTTCTTCAACTCCTCATCAGTTTCATAATTATCAGCATCCAATCGCCAACTGAGTACTCCAAGTTCTGCAAGGTATACATGCTAACTACAATGAGTAAAATGTCGAAAATCTTTTTATGATCTAATAACAATTGCTTCTTATCTAAGATGCTTACCAGCAAGTTGATCCAAGGATACAAATTCTTTAGGCTCACGGTAATGGGGAAGCCTCTGATCTTCATCACTATCATCCATGTACCATGCTTGAAGCACTTCCTCCCTCTACATAACTCAACAGTTAAGACACAACAGACAACCTCATTTTTTTCAATTATTCTTGGAACATAAACAGCATGTGCAGCCAAAGAAAACCAACAGTCAAAATTAACTATTTTAAGCACCTTTCCCAGAACTTACTCTACACAATGCCACGTCATCAACAAGCATGGGAAGACAGCAGAATGAATTGAGTCAGCAAAGTTTAGCATGTTCAATATCACATCTAGTCTTACAACAATGCATTGTAAGTAATCATTATGAATGCTTAAGACACAAGAGGACAAGCCTATCCATCAAATCCTCGACTTGACAACTTGATTATCCTCAATTCATTCTTTAAGCATGACCCTAAATAATTGGATTTTTTACTTCTAATATATAAAGTAAAAGATTCAAGCAACATACTTGCAAGCATCAATGTTAACAAAACATGTTGGTAATAAGAGATATGAATGACAGGCTAACTGGAGTTTGTACCAAGGAGGAAGTGGCATTGGCAGCTTTTCAACTGGGAGCTCTAAAAGCACCAAGCCTGGATGGTTTTAATGGTGCATTCTTTCAAAACTATTGGTCAGGAGTTAAGGATGATGTGATTAAGTCAGTGTAATGCTTTTCTCATTCGGGAATAATTCTTAAAGAAATAAATAATATTGAAATTGTGTTGATTCCCAAAGTTAAAAGTCCAGAAGACTGTAGCCCATTATAGACCAATCAGCCTTTGCAATTTCACCTATATGATTATTTCTAAGGTGATGATGAATAGATTAAAGCCATTTATGGGAGATTTAATCACTCAGAATCAGAGTGCATTTGTGGCCAATAGATAGATTCAAGACAATATCCTGGTAGCTCATGAGGTTTTTCTTTGTTTGAACCTGAGTAAGAAGGGAAAGAATGCTGCTATTTCTATGAAACTTGACATGAACAAAAATTATGACAGTGGAATGGATTTATTAGGAAGCTGTCATGACCATGTTAGGCTTTGACAAAAAATGGGTTGATTGGACAATGAAGTGTGTTAGAACTGTATCCTATTATTTAGTCTTCAATGGGAAACCTTCAGGTAAGTTCTTTCCTTCTAGGGGTCTTAGGCAAGGGGATCCTCTCTCACTATTACTCTTTTTATTTGTTGTTGTGTTATCTACACTGATTTCTGCAGAAACTCAAGCTGCTAATGCCAAAGGGGTCAAACTTAGCAGATGCTGCCCAATTCTCTCACACCTTTTATTTGCAGATGACACCCTCTTTTTCCTTGGTGTTAGTAAGACTAATTGTAAAAATATGTTCCAAATTCTTCAATCTTATTGTGGCTTCAGGAGTGATAGTGGATCTGGCAAAGTCCACTTTGATTGTTCAAATGCACCAGAAAACCTAAGAAGAGAGATAGCAGAATGCTTGCTCATTCCTCTGGCTTCTAATCCTGGAACTTATCTTGGTGTTCCTTCCTTTAGGGGAAAAACTAAAGGACAAGCTATGGCCTTTATTAGGGACAGAGTAGTTGGCAAGTTACAACACTGTAAGCAACAAATCTTTTCCCAAGGTAGCAAGGAGAGTTGTAGCTTGTGCTATACCAACATACACCATGGCTTGTTTTCGTTTGCCAAGGAAGTTATGTGAAGACTTAAATACTGCCATGGCTAAATTCTGGTGGAGGCAGAAAGAAGGGGAAAAAAGGATTCATTGGAAGAATTTACAGTCCGACAAAGGCCAAAAGCAAAGGAAGGATGGGGTTTAAGGATTTGGTCATTTTCAACAAGGCTTTGCTAGCAAAGCAATGTTGGAGATCATTACAGAATCCTGATTCCTTATGGGCTAAAATACTGAAGGGATTGTTTTTTGCTCACACATCTAGGCTAAGTTGGGTACTAGGGCTTCACGGGCATGAAGCACAGCAGCCTCTTGGATAGAAGGGATTTACTCAGATAAATGCTGCTGGATGATTCTAAATGGCGAGTCGGTTGCTACATGACAAGATAAATGGATTCCAGGATACAAGCAAGGTAAACAAGATGTAAGATGCTGATATCTTTGAGGTGCCAGGAAAATTAACCGAATGGATTGATAACGATACTGGAAGATGGATTGTGTAAGAACTACAAGTTTGGGTGTCTGAAGCAAATGCAGCAATACAAAGGATTTGTATCTGTCAAAAAGGGGGTGAAGATAGGCTGGTCTGGCCATATGTGAATAATGATGTGTATTCTGTTAAATCTGGATACCATGCTATTAAAGTGGAGCAGGATAGTAAGGTTGTTGCAAGGCCTTCCTCTTCTCACATCATTTAAGATAGACTATAGTAATGCTTTTTGGAATTTGCAGATGCCTCATAAGATTAGGAACTTTTTGCAGAGAGTGAGCTCAAAATAGCCACTAGATTCAATTTATGGAAGAGGAAAGTGGTATCTATGGAATGTGTCTTATCTGTACAAGGAACTTGAAACAACTGAGCATTTTTTGTTGCAATGCAAATGGACTAGAGGGGTCTGGTTTGAGGGATGTTTGGCCTTAGATTTAACAAATGGCTAGGAGAATTTATTTTGAACAAACAAATTCAGTCTTCTATGAAGATGCATATTGCCTTTTCCTGTTTGGTGATCTGGAAAATCCAGATTTTAGATGTGTTTTAGGAAAGGAATAAACGTTCATTCTACAACTCATAGAGTTGAAGCAGCTGTCCCTGAATGGGAGAATATGCAACAGAAAAAAAATTTCAGAACAGAAATAGGATGTCACACAAAAATAGGAGGTGAATGAGCGTTGGTGCTTGCCTGATTCAGGATAGGTTAAAATAAATTGAGATGAGGTTTATAATTTTGTTTCAAAAGAGGCAGGTATTGGAGCAGTGGTCAGAAATAGTGCAGGTGAATTAATTGCTTGGAAAATTAGGTACTTTGCATGAGATATACCCCTCTTGGCTGAGGCTGAGGCTGAGGCTGAGGCTGAGGCTTTGAAGTTAGAAGTCTCCTAGCTGTGGAGTTATGGTGATCCACTGATCCTAGCTGGAGGATCAGGCCAATTCCTGTCTTTGAAGAATACCTTACACGTTGTGAAGCTGATCAGGAGGCCGATTGGGTTGCATCCCAATTCAAAAGAAGAATGTGCTCAGAAGATTGGGTGCTTGCACCCAATCCTCGCTTGTTTTCATTTTAAATAAGGATGGTCTTCCTGACCATCATAGTTTTCTATTGAAAACTATCTGTATTCACGAGGCTTTACTAGTCTCGTAATGTTCACAGGTTGTTTTGATATGTGTCTGTGATGTTTCTATACATCCATTGATTCAATAAAATTTCATCGTTTCTGGCAAAAATAAATGTAAAAAAACATGCAGATTAAAAAGAAATTATGTAAAAACAAGATCAAAGTACTTTAACAACTAAATCCAAATTGAACCCACCAACTAAAAGGAGCACAAAACCACATAGATATCCAACAAAGCTTCACTTTCCCATGTCATGCCATAACTGAAACAAAGTTAATAGCTTTTTCAATTCCATGATTTTTTTTAAAAATAAAAACATCCCTCTTTCAATTCACCAGCTTTGAACAAAACCACATGAATTCATCAGCTTCTGAACAAAGAGACACTAAAATCCAATGCCAAACAGTATCTCGACAAACAGATAGATACAAAAACTGATCATAGAAATATTTTCTCGGGAAAATAATTGATGCAATATACAAGTTTCCAATTACACAAATAGATTACCTTATCTGAAGCACCCATGTTTCACAGCTCCTTTCTTCGGTTTTGGTCAAAAGAAAATTCTCCTTTCTTCTAAATCGCTTCGAGGCAACGCTACAAAGTGGAGAATTTGCGAACGGGGTTAAAAATTCGCCCGGTAGTGAATATAGAAAGACCAATATGCCCTTAATCGGTTGGAGGAATGATGTAAAACGTCATCCAGATTCATTGATTCTACTGTGTGGAACGGGGGAGACTTGGGACAGGGACTTTATTATCATATTTTAGATGGGATTTGGTGACTGGTGCACCTGTTGTGAGGTTTATTAACATTTTCTCCTAGTTCCGTGTCATGGTAAGATATTTACTTTTCATCGATATAAAATTTTATTAAATTGATCCAAATATTTTTTTAATAAAAAATTATGAATAATTTAATAAATAGAATTTTTAAAATGGTAGGGAAATTTTTATTTTAAAATGATATAAAATTTTTTATTTAATATTTTAAATGGATCTAAAAATTTTTATTCATTTTTTAAAAATAGCACGAAAATTTTGTAAAATGATTTTGAAAATTTTAACTTAATTTTAATTTTTAAAAATATATTTTTTATTAAAAACAAAAAATATTTAAGTCTTTCATTAATAAATTATATTACAAAAAAATATAAAAATATTATTTTAAATTTAATATTTTATAAAATATAAATGAAATATAAAAATTAGAGATAATAACATTTTTGGTTTTTAAATATGCAATAAAAAAATCAAAATAAAATTTTAATTAAAATTTTATTTTGATTTTTTTATTGCATGAAATATCAATTGATATCCTTTGCGTGACGTTAATTGATATTTACTGTTAATTTAAATAATTTTATAAATAAAAATATTAAAATAGAATAATTTTTTATAATTAAAGATTTAATTAAAATTTTTAAAAAATTAAAAATTAAAAATTACACGTCCCATTATTTTTTTTTTCATTATACTTTTTCTGTTTAGAAATGGGTTAGAGTAGTATTACCCAAACCAAATATGGGAACGGAAAAGAGGTTAGATTTTTTCTTTTGGGCTCTTCAGTGTTTCCCTAAGTTTTTGGCCCAAAAAGATGGAAAAAAAAAATCAATACTACAACTGAAAACTTCAATGGAAATGAGGACCAAACAGGTTTTTGCAGATTTTTTTTTTTGAATTTCTCATAATTTAATATCACAAAAAGGTCCCAGCTTTTTGAAGTGTTTTCTACACCCAATGAATATAATGCAATACTTGGAAGTAATGGTATCTGTCTATCATGACCGTCCATTTAGTAGGGACACTGTTTCAAACAGGCCATTCTCGAATGGCAGAACCAATTAAGGGTTCATGGATTGGCCTTGTGGTCCTTAAATAGGCCCATTTTGCTTTTAATTGACTCATAATTCATGATCATGCTCACACCATTTGCCAACAAGAAACACTAGAAATGAAAATTGAATTCAAAACCTCCAAGTAGTCAATAGTTCAGTATTAGGTTGCTTTCCTTTATTATATATATATATATATTTTTTTTTTTGAATTACTGTTAGTATATTTATTTTATTTTCATAGCATAGTTGAAAAGAAGACAAAAAATAGAAAAAAAATATAGGATTATGTTTTTAAAAGGGTTAAATATAAAAGTAATTTTTATATTACACACTTTTTATCAGTTTGAAACTTAAAAAAAAATAAAATTTTTAGTTTAAAATTTTAATTTTCATTCTGTCACTCATTTTGGTATCTGAAACTAATATTGTCAATCAATTTATTGATGTAATATAAATATCTAATAAGATGTTGACATATGTTAAAAAAAAATAAGCATTAAATTATCAATTGTTATATCAATATTAAATTTTTTTAAAATTTTAAAAATTCATAAAAATTCAAAAAATTTTCTAAAAATTTTCATAATGTTTTTTAGTTTTTATAGTTTCTTAAAATATTTCATAATTTTTTAAAATTTTTTAGATTTTTAAATCTTTTTAAATTTTTTAATTTTTTTATTAATATTAGCATGACAATTGATGATATTACGTTAACTACATTTTTTTTATATGTGTCAACATCTTATTGATTATTGATGTACTATTAATAAATTATATACTTCTTGATATGTAAAATATACAGAGTTACATTTTCACTATTAAGTTAGTAATGTGAAAATTTTATAATCATGTGAATTGAGACGTGACTTTTTCAAATATGTTAATGCCATGTAAAAATTTACATTTTTTAATATTTTTTTTTAGTTTTCTTTCTTTTTACTTCTTTCAAACCTGGGTCGTTTAAGCCGTCCCATCCTTGTTAGCACATTGCATGCTGATTTCACCTTTTAATTGATGTTTTTTTTTTGAAAAAAATTTATCTCTTGTTTTCACTTTGTTCTTTATTTTTTATTTTTCATGAAAGAGTAAAAGGTAAAAACAAAAACATCATCCAAACGAAAATTTTGAGTTACAACATTTTACCATTAGTGTATTAATTTTTGTATTGTATATTACCACTATTTATTTCATATTAGTTCCTTATGTTTATTAGCAATTGTACATAATTTTCATCTCAAAATTTAGGTCTATTATTATTAAAATTTATGTATCATTTGGATTTAGTAGTAGCAGTAAAATTCTCAGAGTTTTTTTTATTTGTTACATACGACAAAAGAGCTATGGTAACTTTATAAAGAATTATAGTGTTTCTTTGTAATGTTACCACTTCAAATTTAGTTTACACATAATTTTTTTTTATTTATAGGAAGACGGATTTGAATTTTGTTAAAAAATGTGTTCAATCCATGTTGTTATAATAACATACCTTGCATCCATAGAGACGGTCCCGGCAACCAATAATTTAATAATCAGAGCGATTATTAAATCATGTTGATTTTCGATTTAACCATTTGATCTGGTTAAAATCATGAATCATGATTGAAAATATGCTTTGTCTATGATTAAGTATTAAATGAGTTAATTGCATAATAAAAAAAAAATTATTTAGTGGTTAAAATCTTATAAAATGTGTACGAGATTAATGATTTTAAATTTTATCACTTACAAAAATTTTTAAAACATTGAATAACAATAAAATTGATTCAACTCGATTTAATCAAATCAAATATGATCTAATCAAAAAATTAATTAGTTTTTGATCAATTAAATTTGTCATTTTTATAACATATTTTGGATTGAACAAACATTAATTTTTTATTAATTCAATTTAATTGATTAATTTGATTTTTATAATTTTAAATAAGACTCAATTTAAATCACTTATTATTGAGATTGACAAAATTATCAAAGGATAACATTGAATAAGAGTTGCACTTAAATAAATTATTTTGGAGATCGACAAATTTATTAACGGATAACATTGAATAAGACTGAATTATATTAAGATCGACAAATTTATCAATGGAGTCGGAACCCTTATCAGTACTTCAAATAGTGCTACTAATATTTTGCCACAATAAAAAACCAACATGAACAAAATTTTTGTTGTCTATTGGGCAGATCTTTTTGAATTTGATGCTTACATCTTTCTGTATGTCGATATTTTTGCCTTGGGGTCCATCTCAAATTTGATGGGGTTCAATAATGTTGGGGAGGAAGGAGGGGGTAGGGCTATGCCCTGTGGATTTTGGCTATGGGCTTGACTCAGATGTTCGTCCCGTACCAGAGAGACAGAGCCAGAGTCCCTGTTCTCACATGTGTACGCAACCACACTTGTCCTTGCTTCTTCCATGTAACTCAACAGTCAACACGACACCCACTTTTTTGTTTTTTGGATGAAAATTTGCATTTTAACCTCGCTTCTATTCTCTCTGCAAGTACTATGGTTACACGTACCAATATATTCCCATAAGTATCTTTGTCCCCATGGGTAAAAAAATTAAAAAAAAAGATAAAATTATAGCATTTAATTTAATTCGGATTAATTTTTTTATTTTATTCATTTTAAATTTAAATATTATATATATTAAATTTAAATTAAATTTTAGATTAAAAATGAAAAATTAAAAAAATTAAATGAATTAAATTATATTTTTTTATTAGTTTTTATATTTTAAAATTTAAAATTTTTATATAATAAATATAATTATTTTATATCTAAAACTATTTACATATATTAAAATTTTATATTAAAACAATAAATAAAAATTAAAAAATTAAAAATTGATGAAACAAACTAAACCGATAAAATCTAATTCGAATTAGATCGGATCATATGAAAGATTGGTTCAGATTCAAATTGAATTTTAAAAATTTATAATACTGCCCATTATAAAAAAACCGAATCAAATTTAATCCAATCCAAATTAGTATCACATCTTTATTTTTGGTAAGTTTAGTAGGAAATATTAGGTGAAGTTTTATTTGTGAAATTTATGAAATTTTTTATTAAAAATGATTTAATAAAAATTGAAATAGAAAGTTTAAATTGATAAATAAAAAAATTTTCATTACATAAATTAAGTATATAAATTTTGAAAAAATTAATAAACTTTGCTATATTTTTTAGATAAAAAATTTTAGTAAAAATTTTAACAGAATTTTTACGATTTGAATGAGTACTTATTAAATTTGAAAGCAAACCATATTTTTAATAATTTTTTACATATTATTGATTTTTTATTTTAACTCTATCAATCTATCAATTTTGATTTTTGATTTTAATTTTTATTAAATCATTTTTAGTAAAAGCTTTTATATACTTTACTTAAATAACTTCATATAAGTCTTTTTCAATTTAAGTAATTATGTGTATAATTGAGTTAAGTTGAGTTGATAAAATAAGAAATTCATGCTCAAGTTTGATATTAAATTTGGGGCTTGGAATTATATCCAAATTTAATCGAATTTAAATTTTTTTGATTGAGTTAAATTTAAGATAAAAATTGAATTATTCGAGTTTACTTGATTAAGTTCTTTTATCAAGTAAAAAATGAGCTCACTTGTTGTATTCAACTTAAAATTTTATTATTTGTGCTTGAACTCAAATTGAACATTTTAAAAATATTTTGTATGCATTAAATCTAATAAATATTCTATAATAATAATAATAATAATTTTACACAATAATCAAATCCAAAATTTTCTAAACAAGAGCAAATAAAAATCTCAATTAAATTAACCAAATACAACAACATTATTATTTAAATCAAAATTAGTAAACTTAAGAATTAAAATCATAACTAAAAGAAATTAAAATGAAATATTCAAGCAAA